TGGACGACTGAATTTCCTACAAATGGTGACCTCAACGAAGAAAACCAACCTTCTGATGCCTTTCACACATAGGTTTAACATTGCCAAACACTGCCTTCACACAAATGCCAACAACTTGAAGTGAGAACATTTCTGAACCCAGGCCAACACCATAGAATTAAGCACCAATCACACAGAATCCATATTGACTTTAAATCTACCTTCATACTACACTACAAATGTACAAACTTCGTTTTCCCAACTACAGGCAATTTTCAATGCCAAGCAGATCACATCACAACATACTAATTGTGCATGCATGACAGAGAAACTTGTTTGGAATTTGGATTTTTAATATAAAAAAAAAGATGGACAACTGAAATTCCTAGAGATTACCATCTGTCTCTATTTCTGAGATGTGATATTATGTACATTATTTACATTATTCGGACTATTGGTTAAGGCAGTGGAGAACTTTCAGAGGGAAATTAACAGGAGATAACTGATAACTGACAGCCATTAAACATGGCATGTGGAACTAGAACAGTCTACCCCAGTGAGCGAAATAAAGGGTTCAATTCGACATTCCAACCACCTGAAGAAGGCATGAGCGTACAACAGTCGAAACGTTGTAATAAATATGGCAACAAAGATGAGGACAATAGTCCAAATAATGTAAATAATCTACAGATTACCGTTAAAACCCATGTAATTTGCACACCTGTGTAATTTATGCAGGTGATTTTCAGGATAAAATTTGTTAAAAAAGCTTCTACTCACGTAAAATTCACACCCCAAAATTTTCAAAATTGCTGATATGGTCAGGGGTAAGAGGTTTTCAATTTTGTTGTATTTAATATAATTCCACTTATGATTAGATTTGATTCAATTTTCATTAAATAGATAAATTAATAAATTGAAATAATTTCTGTTTAACAGGTAAATATCAAATTAAAAGATTAAATTACAAAGTTTTTGTGTTATTTATAATAAATTTTATTTTACATTTCTTGCCAACAAGGTATATTATGTCCGATCTTGAGTATTGCTGTATGTCTTCTCAAATCACAATCATGGGAAAATTAGTTGATAAGAATTATCAACAAAAACAAAGCTGATAAATACTCACAGTTTAATTACCAATAAACATCAACTTGGATGACACTTTACTCAATTGACAAAGGGAGGTGACTGACCAGACTGATTAAACAGAATTCTGATTGGTCGAGAGCATCCTCTTGTCCCAAGCACTGATTTTCCATCTATTCTTGTCACAACATTTGATACAGAGTATCTAAATTTCAATCTGATTCACACTTCTTGTTGTGGGGCTCTCCCCTTTTTACATAAGATGGATCCATCCAAAGTATACTTATACTGACAGAGAGAATACCTGTTGTTGAGATACATTGAGATACGTGGAGATACGTTGAGACAGGTTGAGAGATACGGAGACAGACACAGGGTGTTCTCAGAGAGTTATACAAGGGTCTAGAGAGAGAGATGATTACGGCTTTACTTACAGAAACTTGTACATATACTTTCTACTAATCCGCATTCCTGGACTACTAATCTTCACTTCATGTCTGTATTCTTATGTTTAATACACTTATTTTTCTATCTCAATTACTGGTGTTGTTTATTTATTTGTGCAGGATTCCATTCACGGTATCCACAACACTTATAAAATGTCAAACAAAATTAAAAATTTGTCATTACTATTATTGTCACTATAGTTAGAACTTGTGGTTTGTTTACTGTGAAGGGGAAATTGAATATTGTTGAATATGCATTTGAATATAGCAATAGAACTTGTGGGAGTCATTTTAATGAAGCCAATGTCCAAAACTGGAGTAAACAGTACGACAAACTTAAAACTGCACCTATTAATAAACATGTCAATAGGATTAAATCTGCAAAATTCCCTAAGTTAGAGCCTGGATTTTATCATTGTGATATGTCCCGGAAAGGGATATATTTGTTCTTAGGTAGCAAAGTGGTTGTTGACTACTGTAACCGGGTAGGACAATCTAGCAGGTACCTGTAATGGACTGGTACTCATCGTAGTGGTAGGCAATAGGCGAGGACAATAGGTGTAGCCAATAGGCGTAGCTAATAGGTGTCCTCCTGTACCTCCACATCAGTCTGTATCTATGGCTGACACCAGCCAATCATATTACTGTGAGGGGGAACCAGGTGGATGCATATTCATTACATCACATTGGATATCTGAAAATGTGATGGGTGTGTGATGATGATCATCATCACACATATATATACATACTTACGCAAATTCAAATTTCAATAACAATCATTCATTGGATAGAAATCAACGCTACTATCTTATGTGATAATTTTGAAATCACTATATTTTCATATAGTAGATTTCGTGCACTTTTGGGAGAATCGGCTCCAAGAAGTCTCCCCAAAACTCATGCACTGATAGGTCAGTATCGACCAATCAGATTCTCTGCATGTGGAGAATGATTCTTTCTACACAGCACTCCTGATCCAATGAGCACCTATAAATAACAAACACAAGTTTTCCTCACTCTCTCTTTCTTCCCTATTCTTGCTGCAACATGTAGTCCCAGAGAATTATCGTCTTGACCTTGTGGTCAGACGTTAAAGAACATTACCAAAATACATGTATGTACAAACATAGACCAAGAGCATTCACTACCAACATTCACCACGAACGTTCACACACACACACACACACACACACACACACAAAAAAAACAAAAAAAAAAACAATGTTAACTGTCTATGTGCTTTGTAAATGTTTTGTTTAGTACATATATTTGTTTATATATATTGGTCTTGTTTGTTTGTCTTCCTTATCTTCAGTTGGACTTAATCCAAATCCAACATTCTATTGTAACTGGACCTTTCTAGCAGGAAATATAAACGGACATGTTTTCTTTACATCTATACCCCCAGTCCTCTACAAGTGTTTTGGTGTAAACACTTCTGAAAGAAGATTCTATGCTAGTCAGTTATTTAAGATCAAATATAGTACTGATAGTATGGACTTAGAAGCTTCGTTAAACTGGTGCTATAGTTTTATGAACCATTATGACTTGAGTGTGTGGTGGGCCCGTGGCAGTTACCACTTGTTGAGGATTCATGGTGTGGCTGTTATGTTGTTGATAGAAGTCAGACGTAGACGAAACGCAAGTAAGGTTCATATACTCCTGCCCGCCGAGCCCAACTACATAAAAAGGTTGGACTTTGATTAAGTCCAAAGAAGAAGGTAAAGAAAGCAAACAAAACACAAGACCGATAATATATGTATATACAAATATATATTAATAACAAAGTTACAATACATGGAAACAGTACAAAAGGAATAAGTGTGTGTGAATATTCTGTATGTGCGTGCGTGTGTGAATATTCTGTATGTGCGTGGTGTGTGAATATTGTGCCTAGCGTGTTTCCATGCCATCCCTTGTTATTTTACTACATTTCGAGGTTGATAGCTGAAATCCTGAAGGAAAAAAGAGTGTGTGTGAATATTCTGTATGTGCGTGCGTGTGTGTGTGTGTATTTGTTTAGCGTGTTTAACGCTAGGAAATTAAGACCTACATTAATTTTCTTATTTTGATAGCTGAAATCCTGAAGGAAAAAGAATTTACCTCAAGGTGTCAGTGCACAGGCCTGAAGGAAAAAGAGATAGAGGCGAAAAGTCAGCGGCTATTTATAGCCAGGGAAGAGAGACCCCTGGTGAAAGGGTTAATGGAGTGAAGGAGGAGTTAACTCCGACAAGTGTATGATGTAGAACAACAATTGTGCAAAGTCATCCTGAAGATTACAAGGAAAAGCTGACAAATTTTCAGAGTTATATTATCAAAGTTAGAAGAAAATGTTGAACCATCGTGCATCGGGAATGCAGACCAGACCCCGTTAACATTTGATTTGCTCTATGACACAATAATAATGACACTTGTTAATGAAAAATCAGTTAAAATAAGAACAACTGGAAATGAAAAGAATAGATTTAACTGTGATGCTAGCATGCTTGGGAGACGGAACAAAATTGCCACCATATGTTATCTTCAAAAGAAAGACATTGCCAAAGTTGAACTTTCCAAAAGGCATAATTATTAGCGTTCACAAGAAAAGCTGGATGGCTGAATCCAGCATGAAAGAATGGCTAAGACTTATGTGGGGATGACATTCCAATATCCGTAGTAAATGTAGTTTCTTAGTTTTTGATAGTTTTAGATGCTACAAGTCAGACAACGTGAAAGATGTATTAAGAAGTGACAATGTTTACAATTTACATCCTTTTCCTTTCCATCCTTAACAATTTTGCCGATCTCACAACAAAACAAGAAAAAACAGACAAGAATAAAACCGTACAGTCAAGATTATTCATGTCATTACATTGTTTTCCAGTCAAGAATATCTATATCACTATGTATGTCAATGGTGCTCCATTGTGATAGGTAGAAACATCAAGCAATGTAAAATATGGCAAGGATTGTGATTACCAGCATGAATGTTATTCAAAAAGTAGTTAACCATTTAATGGTTTTAGTAAATTTATACAGAAAAAGTAAACATTCTACCGTCCAGCATAAAAGTCAACTTTATTACATTTAAGATCTTAGTTTTTCTGCATAAACTTATTCTGACATTAAATAGGTCAACTTCTGGTATGAATATTTACAATTGTGTACGTCTTTATTCAACAAGAAAAAATTAAAAAAAAAAAAACCTGGAAACGATCTACTCATATAATTTATGCACACCCTAAAATTTATTTTTATTTTTCCAAAAAAATATGTGTAAATTACATGTTTTTTACAGTAACTGAGGCTTAATAAAAACATTGACTATGAATAGGACGATGGCATCAGGAAAAACCAAATACTGATAAATAATTTTTTCAAGAGGAAACAGCTGTTGGCTGATATGACACGAGTTTAATGACTTTTAAATCTTTTCTAATTTTTTTCTTACATCATTCTGGTTCATTTCAATCTCGTTTTTTTGGGGGGTTTCACTTAATGTAGATGAACATCACTCTCTTTCTATGTCTATCAATGCTTTCATATCTATATCAGTTTGTTAATCTCCCTCACTTTCATATTATTGCCTTCTTTCTCTCTCTTTTGTATTATCTGTCTCTCATTTTATCTGCCTGTCTTTCTCACACATGTCTGGCTTTCATAGCTGTCATTCTCTTGTTATTCTGTCTCTCTCCCATTGTCTCTCTATATAGATATCCATTTCTCTCAATCTGTTTTTCTCCTTCTCTCTCAGCTATGAATCCTTTTCCTTTCCCCCAGCTATGGGGTAAATAGTAGGTACATGAATCTGGAAAAATTACTGCTGTCAAAAAATTGTTAATGCAATATTTAGTTGCAAAAACAGAATTATTCTTATAAACTAAAATGTTTCCACTCTAAATGACACTCAAAAGGTTGATAAACTGTAAAAAACACATCAATCCTTCTGCTTCTCTTTCTCTATGCCTATCACAAACTATATATATATATATTTGTTTTTTACAGTTTATCAACCTTTTGAGTGACATTTAAAGTGGAAATATATTTTAGCTTGTAAGAATAATTCTGCTTTTGCAACTGAATATTGCATTAACAATTATTTGACAGCAGTTTTTTTTTTTAATTTGTAGGTCTGATGAATTGGATTGTGATTATGATTCCAATGTAATAAATTATAACCATGGAATATTAATATTTGAGCCTTTTATATTATATTCTTACTCTGTCCTGGACATTGAGTTCTACCTGGATTCTATCCTCTTGGGAATTTTATATATATATATATATATATATATATATATATATATATATTGACCACTAATATTATCAGTATCTATATCTATCTATCTATCTATATATATATATATATATATATATATATATATATATATATATATATATATATATATATTGATGCATGTTTCATTAAATAATATAGACAAGTTTTATCTAAGTAAGTTCCTTTCATATTGTCTGATAAGCTTAATAACATTATCATTGAAAGACAAAAAGGAAATCACCATATTGATACATGTTTAAATCCTATCTAAGCTTTCGACTTACATAAGCCATTAACAAAGTTGACAGTTACATTTCAATATATCAAACAATACACGGACGAAACAATAATGATAGTTCGTTTTTGTTGCAAGAAAAAAATTTCAAAGCAACAACAACCTCGTGTATATACGAGATTTTGAAACGAAAAATTGCATCGCTTTGGTAAACGTCACACATGACCCATGAGAGTGAAAACGAGAAGTATGGGAAGCTGTTGGTATAAACCAATGGCTTCTGTTATCAACTATAGGCATTTAAGAATTTGCTGCCTAAATATTAATATATATATATATATATATATATATATATATATATATATATATATATATATATATATATATATATATAAATTAAATAATTAAGAAAGAGACAACCTTATGGTTCCATGATTATAATTTATTTCTCCAGAAAATATATATTTCCTGGTTCATCAGGTCACATCTCTAGTTACAAAGGAATTTGGTTTCTTTTATTGTTAATACAAGTTTTTAAGGGATAGTTTTAGATTGATGTAAGGTGAAAGAGGTGGTGGGAGGGGGAGGGACTATAGAATGGTCTATATTGGTAAGGGAAAGTAGGAATGAGGTTGTTTTTAAACCATCTTTAATAATTTATGTAGATTCAAGTATACTCAATCAAGAGGCTGGACAATTTGACCTCTTAAATAATTTTTAGGCTGGAAGAGAAATATACATATATATATAGAAAGCGTATATTCATGTAATATATACAAATATATTAAAACAAAGGTGGGTAAGAGTGGCAGGATAAGAATAAGTAATACCTACTATAAAATGGTGAATCAAAAAAGGGAAAAGCTAACCAGTTATCACTCCTCACTCATCAGAGCTCAATAGAGGTCAAAATATAAATATCTGCACAACAACTAAAATATGTACAAAATTACATTTTTGGTAATAATTCAGTCTGTCCTGATCTATCTATCCATGTATCTATCTATTTCATTTGAGTTATCCACACACAGACACACACAGTATCATATAATAATTCTGCTTGGTCTCTGGTTCTCTTAGGCAGTTAAGTCTTATGTAACACTGTGGAAAAATGAATTAAAATCAATAGATAAAATTATAATAATAAATAATAAATAAAGAAAAAGAATTTTTCCATGATGCTAGTAATAAAGGAACCAAAAATATGATTATCCCACTTGGCTTCATCAAATGCCCATTAGGTGGCGCTGTTCAAATCTATAAAAAGACAAACGTTTCCTTCCTCACTCTCTTTCTCTCTCTTGCTCCAAGATAAAGCAATACATGGGTAAAGGACATCTCTGCTGAGGCACATTCATTTCCCCAGTCCATCGACAACTGAACTCTTTCTACTTTCCAGTGCATAGCATTCACATATAAATCAAAGTAGTCTTTTCTTTCGTCAATCCAACTCAGTGAAAGGCTGATGAGGTCAACCATTATAGCCATGCTTAAACTCTCCAATGATGAAGTAAATACAAACTTTTCTTTTTTTTGTTCCAACTCTGCGCAAGGCTGACTAGCTTGACTATTATAATGATGCTTATCCTTTAACTTCTGGACCAAAAATAAAAAACAATGGACATACCCAAAAGACATTGAGAAATTTGTTTCACTACAGTTTATATTTTAAAAAAAGAGAATAAACAGTCCGTTGAAGGAACCCAGGTTTTTGTAGGCTCCTGCTTTAATTGTTTACATGGGAAAAACACCTCATCTATCATATACCAAAATACAACCTTTAAATTCCAAAACACCCTGCCAATAGTTTATAAGTGTATCTAACCACTAGTCTCAATGAAAAAAGTCCACACTTCATTCTGATATAATCCTCTTATTCAAGAAAGGGGCCATGAAAACTTGAATTTAAATTTGAAGGTGTCTGCCATCAGCATTGTTCAACGCCATACTATAGTTGTAACTGCGATTACAAAGTCTCTACTACAACAAGCATTACAAAAATGACAATGAGTATTCGTTGGCATTACAAAAGTGGCAAGAAGTGGTGTCTTAGAGGCGAATTTCAGATTTTAGTAGCAGGGAATTGTTATATTCCATGCTAATAGGAATATGGAATGGACAAACACGGTAGATAAATTGTGTGCGTGCTGCTATTAGAAGGCTACTGTCCTAACGGATACTTATAGGTGGTTACTACCTATAGTGCCACCACTCATGGGGGTGGCAGGTTATTCCATTACATCAGGGATGTATAATCACCATGTTGCTTCTTTGACCAACAGTAGGTAAATAAGCCATGGTTGCAGACTCACAAATTTACATCGAAACACATATGTTTATATATATATATATATATATATATATATATATATATATGAAAAATATTTATTTTATATTTTTTGTGAAACATTAAAAATTATTATTGTAATTTTAGCCCTATTACTACTGCTATCAGGCTCCTACTAAGTAGCAAAGTCTCTAAGCCTGCGGATGCATATACCAATCCCTTTGGCAACCATTACACCACTTTCCTGGTATTAAGTCTATTGGCAATTTTAAGGAGTAAATAATCACTCACTTCATGCTCATGTCTATCTGGAGCTTTGATCCCTACAGATGTGTAAATATTAGTGATCATCAATCACCATCACATCTACTGTTCAATCCTGGCATGATGTATGAGTCTCTTCTCCAGAGCACATCAACAACATAGAAATTGGCACTTTTAACTTTTAACTTTTGATCAGAAAAAAAAAAACCGATAAAACAATACTTTCCTTTATAACTCTGTTAATTCTATTCTTTCTAAAAAGCATCTGCCTTAGATTTTGTTATAGTCTTTGTAAAACAACAAAGAAATATTTCCTTAGTTCTGATGCAACTCTGAGTCTTTCCTTTTTCTCCAGGGAGGATTGGTTCTGCAATCTGTGCATCTGTGCATCTGTGTCAGCTCAATCTCCCTCCTGTGAAAGATAGCTAAGTTGCTGTCAATATGAATCTGCCATTGTTTACAATCTAGCAGTCCACTGATTCTTTGAGATGTTTTTATTCCATTTAGTTTTTTTAATTATTTTCTACCTTCACCCCAAAAGAATTCCTTTTAGACAAGAGATATCTTCCTTTATTTGCACTCAAAGCTGAGGTACTGTTTCTTGCTAAAAGAAAAAAAGAAAAACATTGTTTGTCTCTTTTGTTTGCTTTCTTGTTTGTTTTCTAATTATTTCTCACCCCTCAAAAAAGGGGCAGAGAAATGGACGCTTTGTGGGTAAAACATTGTTGTGTTCAAACCTGAAATTGGCCAGAAAAGTGATTTAATTTCTGGATCATTTTAACAGTCCATCAGAATAACAATAATACTGTTAATTTAATTCTATTCTTTCTAAAAAGTATGTGCTTTAGAATTTGTTATAGTCTTTGTAAAACAACAAACAAATGGTGTGATGAATGGAGTACCTTCTTTCCTAAGGAAGATGGATGGATTTATAAAAACCAAAAGTCTGAATGAAAAAAGGTTCAAGATTCATACAGATGTTATTTTTTTATTTAGAAAATACACAGTAAAAACTAGAAAAAAATAACAAATCTCTCAAAAAGGGAAATGGATGAAAAAATACATTTCAAAGAAACACACAAACAAGGAAAATGAGGATAACAGTCCAAATAATGTAAATAATGTAAATAATCATAATACCTCATCCCAGAGATATAGAGGCCGAAACGTTGTGAATATGGCAATGAAAATGAGGATAACAGTCCAACTAATGTAAATAATGTAAATAATCATAATACCTCATCCCAGAGATATAGAGGCCGAAACATTGTGAATATGGCAATGAAAATGAGGATAAGAGTCTGAATAATGTAAATAATGTAAATAATCATAATACCTCATCCCAGAGATATAGACAGATATGCTTTAGATTTTGTTATAGTCTTTGTAAAACAAAAAACAAATGGTGTGATGAATGGAGTACCTTCTTTCCTAAGGAAGATGGATGGATTTATAAAAACCAAAAGTCTGAATAAAAAAGGTTTAAGATTCATACTCATGTTATTTTTTTATTTAGAAAATACACAATGAAAACTATAAACAATAATAAATCTCTTAAAAGGGGAAACGAATGAAAAAAAAATACATTTCAAAGAAATACACAAATAAAGAAAACTTTTTTTTCAACCAAAAAA